CATTTCTACGACAAATTTATTTGGTATTAAACCCCTCGAAAGCTCCTACACACCGAACATTACTCGAATATTTTGCGATGCTTTGTTTACCACTCAAAATTCACGTAAGCAAGGTGAGGCGGCCTCGCTCCCAAATTCGCGCCGGCGGCCGGCGTTACGGGGCCAAAGAGGTTAACCTGCACGTTCTCATGTTAAGGTGAAGCATCACTATGGTGGTGCACATCATCTGTGGGTTCGATTCTCCCTGGGGCAAAGTGTTTTGACAAAACTCAACATTCTGTGATAATTTACTATTTTCACTCCGGCATTGGTCGAATCGAGCAAAAGGAGAAAAATCTGAAGAGATTTTCAGTATCTCGGTTTTTCCCTGGAGCCGTATAGCACTTAATTTACTGTCAAGTTCCAGCGCTCATTTAATTCCATAACAATCTTTAGGGAGTTGTCCTACCAATTCGACTCTTCTGCTACAATCTGATTCTGATGAGCCACAACTATGCAGTGCCAAACAGCAATGTCCTCATCCGTATCAGGTAATCGTTTAACTGTTTCGGTTGATCTAGGGTGTCCTGGTTGCTTCAAGAATCTCGAAATAGATATAATTTTGAAATGATGTTTTTCCATCACCCTTGAACTCAAGAGAAAAGAAGCTGTTATCACCTTGACTGTTAGAGCCGTGAATCTCGCTCGCCAAGTCAAGTAATAATAAGCGCTGATTTCAACTCGATTCCCAGAGGCAATGTGCAACGTCAAATTGCGCTTTTGTTGGAAATTTTATATACATTTAGTGTTTCAGCGTTGTTATAAAAAGCAGATGTTCCCTTGCGCAACGTTGAAAGTTTCTTTGCCATGTGCCGTGACATAGTTTTATCGAGTAGTTAGAAATGTATAATATTTGAATACTTTGGCGAGAGCGTGAATCGCAGGCGGATCACATGTTGCAGACGATGCGGGACAGTGTGAATCGCTCGAGGATCGCACCCATGTGATTTGTGGTTCCTTTTTCAAAGTCGTGCGATTTTTGTTCTACAGTTTTTCGTTATTTTTTTCACCAGTTTGACTGCGTACGCATGCTCGTGCATCACGCGGGACTGCAATGGTGTAAAACAGGGCCATCGATACTTTTGAAGTGCCCGCCTACCTTAGGTGACATCGTCAGCTATCTCCCTCCCTCCTATTGTCAGATTGCAATTTTCACGATCGCTAGAGCTTCTTGGAGCCGAGTTACAATGTTTCGTGGATAACTCCGCCTCATTCAGTGCACCACTCCACCCCGCCTATAGCTGCTATTGGCCCCTCTCCGGTAGTCAGGCTCAACTCCACTTTCTCTCCGGCCCATTCGAGCTTCTTGGAACCGACGCAGAAGTTTCGGTGCAAATTCGTCATATCGCATGAAAGCCATACTCAGAACTCCTCCTCTCATGACTCTCTCCACTTTTTTCCTGGACATGGTTATTTCATTCCCGCCCCGCTGATGTATGTATGTACTTTCTTGACCCACGTCCCACCCAGCTCAAACTTGACCCGAACCCTGCAGGTCGTTATCCAAGTGTACCAAATTTCGTGGCAAACAGACACCATGACGCTAGCGTTTTCGAGTTGCATGGATAATACTCTACAATTCTAAGAAACCAAAACTGCAGAAACGTTCACAGTTCGATCCTGATCGTACAAATCCACCGAATTTCGAAAATTCCTTGGATATATCCGCAGTCCGCCCTGGCGTTCTTGAGTATCATTGAAGAACCATCGACTGTGCAGTCACTTTGCCTGTGCCTGCTATGGACGTGGCGTCTCGCCTACATCTGCAAGTTTGTTTCTTCGATGAATCTCCGAAAACATGAACTTTCCTGCAAGCCTTATCGTTAGCTTCCGGAATCGTTTCGACACTGCAATCCATCGAATTCAAGTCAGTATTGCTGATCTGCCACTGTTGATGCTAACAAGTCGCCAAAATTATTTTACACCGAGTCTGCAGCACCTTTGCCTTGTGAATGAGAGCTCCTTCTTGATGGGAGGTCCAGCAACAATTTCAATGTGAAAAGAACCTTAGTATAGCTATTTGTACTGAGATAAGTCTCGAATATCTCAGTACAAATCTCGATCTCGATTCCCATCTCTCGTAAAATTCAGCGAGCTGAGCGCTCCAGCTACCCACACAGCTTCTATCGCACACCATCCTTAGGTTAGGTTCCTCCTAGTCGTCACAGGAAACACCTCCTCCTCAAATTTTTGGGGGGAACGATGTAATTCGTTTCCTTCTTTGTATATTTGTGTATAATGTTAAACTGCACCTCGATGTACACCAAAAACTCTATATTCGCTCGTGCAAGAACATCGACGATGAAGTTCAGTGATTAGGAAACGACGGCAGAATCACTCATCCGTAGCAGTCATGTATTTTGACAAAATCAGGACAGAAAAAATAGCGCTGAGTGTCGGCTCGAGTTGCATGAGCATGTGTTGTCGCTGTAATTTTTTCGCAGTCTGTACCCTAGGGATTAGAGTAAAGGTAAACCCCGGATTAGTCGGACTTTGGATACCACGAGGAAATTGTAAGGTCCGTACCTACCTAGATCACTCCAGCTTCGTCGCAAAATTGCGCGGTTAGGGCGCTAATCCTTACGGGCCTGCAACCATCGACCCCGTTGCAACGCTTCCCACCCACCTCGATTGATGTAGAGATCAGCGTGCTCTCTCAAACGGCGTTTTGTCTTCTTTGATCGCTCTGTCTCGCCATCGTACCACATCCGACTTATTGAAGGTCAAATTTCAACGTTTCCAAAAATTTTGCTTGCTTTACTACCCAATTTTGGGTCGTTCTCTAGCTCACAAGGGAAGGATGGTAGGTCGAAGTGGCCGTTCGAAATGAAATGTATACCACCTGATGCGTCTCCAGACGCTGATTCCAAATCTGCCTTCCAAATCTGCTAAACGGCTCTCCGAACGGAGTTATGAAGCGTAATAGCTCAGTGGTGATGGTCCGGGGTGGCAGGTAAAAGCTCGTAGGATCGGTTCCTTTGCGAGTTTGTTGCTTTGCTTTTATCTGCTACATTTCTGAGAAAACTTTATACACGTTATTCAATCAATAGTTACCTAAAATTGCCTACACGAAGAGTTTGGCAGCAGTTGCTGACAAGTCTAGCACTGTTCCCGGTCAACTTTTCAGGTTAGGTCAAAATTTCAGATTTTGCTGAAAATTCGTTCTATGGGGTAACTTGGCACCCTGATGACGAATATCAAATTCGTTTGCGCGAAAACGTGTGGCACGCGCACTACGGGCGAAGAGAACAGTCATGCGGGAGCAGGGTTAACTTGTCAGCAACTGCTCGCAGTCTCTTTTAGGCAATTTTAGACGAGAATTGAAGAAATACTACTATGAAAGTCTCTCTAGAAATGTTGCAGACAAAAGCAAAGCAACAAACTTGCAAAGGAACCGATCCTACGAGCTTTTACCTGCCACCCCGGACCATCACCACTGAGCTATTACGCTTCATAACTCCGTTCGGAGAGCCGTTTAGCAGATTTGGAAGGCAGATTTGGAATCAGCGTCTGGAGACGCATCAGGTGGTATACATCTCATTTTGAACGGCCACTTCGACCTACCATTCTGCCCTTGTCCGCCATCACTACAGAGCGCTCTTATCACCAGTTTATCCCGGGACTTGCCCTTGAATCTCATTGTACGCACACAGGCGCTTCACGAAATGGCTCAGTATGCTAAGCAAAGGTTTTCAGAGCTAAACGGCTCTCCAGCTTGATTTATTGATCGGGATTGTACCATAATGAATAGGTATTGGGTAACATGAAGGGAAGATTATGTACGACATAGTCTGCGAGTGGACCCACTTGATGGATTTTCTTTTTTTTTTTCGTAACTATTACACGTTCATTTGCGTGCCGACATCTCGCTGCTCCTGAGTACTTAGGCGCGGCGCAACAGCCCTTCCACGTAGAGAAATTGACCAAATTTCATTATCGGATCGTTTCATTTTTGATCTGCTCAGCGCACCTTGTGGG